TATACTAAATAAATTAAACTTCAAGTATACTTCTTTTTGCTAAGGGGTAGTGCCGAGATGACTTCTGTTGTGATTTTGTGCTAACAAACTGAACTGAATATTACACGACCTGCTGGTAGAGAGGCATGGACACGTGACTTCATTTATTAGTATTATTAACATTTGTAATATGTCTGGAGATCAACTGTATTATTTAGATTAACATGAACGCCTTTGAATCGGAAATAGCTCGCATCCGCCATCTTTGTTCAGTTCACCCAGAAAGATACACACACGCGCGCGCGAGGGATGACGTAGGCTTTATGCTGCAACAACGACACGCTCAAATGGAGTTCTTGTTGAACTGAACATATTTCCGTCACAGTAAAAGTTGTTTTTGTTTGTGTGGATAAAAGCGTCACCGCGGCGCCATGATGGCGTTTAACGAACAGAACAGACGAATCCGCTTCTTTACCACAGTACAGACACTCAGCAGTACCCGGATGTAGTGTCATGGCCGCCGTCAGGGAGAAGGAAGCCAAATGTATCTTACGTTTCTCAGCTTTTCCGAGCCGGACTGCTTTCACCAGCATGTCGGACGTTGATGGGACACAGCCCGAACTTCCGTCCGAACTCACAGTAAGAAAGAAGTTATTTCCTGTAACTTTGAACGCGTGGGGGCTTTATTTAGGTGTCAAATACCTGAGAATAAAATGGTCTTGTTGCGAGGCGCTGTGTTTGTATTGGTTTGGAAGGATTGTATTAAGGAAGCAGGCTTCAAACCCGTGCGGGTCCAGGTTGGACTCCGTGTTCTCCCGCTGCCTGAGCTTCTCCTCACGGCTCCTCCAAACCAACTTATCGTGGAGGACAAACTTAAGCCCCGGGAAAATAAACTCTTTAACAATGAAGCTTAACTTGGTTGAGATTTGGGCTTTTGTCACATTTCATTGTGAAGTTAAAGAGATTTATGAGGAGGTTCATGTGTGGAACAATCAACTTTTCTTTTGTTAACCTCCAGGCTTCATTGATGGCTTCCATCATGTTGTGTCCACCTGTCTGCATCTTCTCAGGTGTTCACTGGCTTTATTATTCGATTACATCACTCATCATGTTTTATTGCTTACTTTGTGTAGGTTAAATCTTTCTGAATAAAGTTTTTGTTCAATTTGCATTTAGAATATTGAAGAAATAATTTGAGTTAGCTAGTTATTACAACGGGCAGCACGGTGGCACAACTGGTAGTGCTGCTGCCTCTCAGCGAGAAGGTCCTTGGTTCAAACCCCGGTCCAGGGGCCTTTCTGGGTGGAGTTTGCATGTTCTCTCCGTGCATGCGTGGGTTTTCTCCGGGTGCTCCGGTTTCCTCCCACAGACCAAAAACATGCATGTTAGGCTGATTGGTAACGCTAAATTGTCCCTAGGTGTGAGTGAGAGAGTGAATGGTTGTTTGTCTCGTTTGTCTCTATGTGGCCCTGTGATGGACTTGCGACCTGTCCAGGGTGTACCCCGCCCCTCGCACAGTGACTGCTGGACATGGGCACCAGCGACCCCCGTGACCCAAAATGGAATAAACGGGTAAAGATAATGGATTGATGGATGGATGGATAGTTATTACAACTTTTTTTCTTTGCTGCACGTTAACAACTGTAGTCTGGTTATGTTGACCCCAGTAAGAACTTGTAACTGCCCCATTGCTGTTGTTATTTCCTCTCTGTGTTGTACTGTGGTAAGAGTGCAACATTTATGATCAAAACAACAATTTACACATCATCGCATGAGATCGTACATACAAGGTTAAACTAAAGTGGCGGCAACTCAGCCTCACTAGATGAATTATGTGGAAGTTACACCATTAAAGTCATCTTGAGATGTTAAAAGTGGCCACATCATCATGGCCACGCCTCAGTAGGTCCATTTTAAGTTGCCTGTAACCTCTCCACGTTATCTGACACAGTTTCAAGGTGTTATCAGGTCAGAGGATGACGCTCAGGAAAAAAATAATGTGTGTTATGTGTTGTCATCATTGTATGTTCCCACACAATGGCAAAATTGGCTCTCTGCAATTAACCCATCCACCAACAGCTGGAGCAGTGGGCAGCTATTAAAAGCACCCGGGGAGCAACTGGGGATAAGGCGTCCTGCTCAGAGACACCACGAGATGTGCAATGACTGGGGATCGAACCCAGGATGTTCGGGTCCCGAGTCGGCTGCTGCCCCTACACCATCTCGGCCCCCATCTGAATATGTAACTAGTCTCTGTGGGTGGGGCTCAGGCGATGGTGGAATATTGACAATGTGGCGGCTGCAGCTGAGTAGTTATAGCAGTCGTCCTCCAATGGGAGAGTTGGGGGTTCAATTCCACCAGCAATCCCATGTTTAAGTGTCCCTGAGTAATACACTAAACCCCTCATTGTCTCTGATGTGTGTCCCATCAGTGTATGAATGTGATCTAAAAACACTGATTAGTCTCTTTACAATGATTTGTTCAGTTAGCTTTGTAGAGATGTAGTAGAGTGCTGTATGAATGTGTTTGTGGAGGTAAATGAACACAGATTGTGTTGTAAAGCGCTTTGAATATCTTGATTAGACAGAAAGGAGCTATATAAGTACAGTCCATTTACTATTTACATGTGGATGTGTTGAGGACCGGACCAAGCCTTTTGACTAAAGACGGTCAAAGCAGATGGCCGCTTGTCCGGAGACTGGTTCTGCTGGAGGTTTCTTCCTGTTTAAAGGGAGTTTTTCCTTTCCACTGTTGCCTTTGTGTTTGCTCAGGATTGGAGACTATGACGAAGTGAAGATTCAACTGCTGACTTCTTTCCTTTTGCTAATTGGTTTTTGTATGTATATGAATGTTTCTATTCAGTGCCCTGAGGCAACTTCTATTGTGATTTGGCGCTATATATAAACTGAATTGAATTAAAGCTTTTGGTGCAGATGAGTTTATTTATTTATTGTTAGTTAGAACAGTTTTGTTTTAAATATGTGTTTTGTGGCAACAATCCAAAGTTGGTGTAGCCTTGCCCACATGGTTCTGATAACTTAAGGACCCAGCATATTCCATCTGAAGCACAACAGTCGACTTGCAGTCATGTGGTTGTGGGACGGTCATTTTCGCTCACACCTTTCGTAGTCCACAAGATACACAATGTAGACCTCCTAGTAAATCCCTCTCACTATACATCACTGCATAAGTTTCTTCCTCCCAGGGTCTCCACTCCATCCCTGCATTGATCATTTGGCCACAAATCTATCATGAAAATAAGCTCTACACTTTTCTGCAGACATACTCTTTCATACACAATGACTGACCAATCTCCATCCAGGTGTTTTTGGCCATTTGACCAATTTATGCCCCTTTTCCATTAGTACCTGTAGTACCGGTACAGCACGGTTCTACTCTACTCGGTACGGTACAGGTTGTGTTTCCATTATGCTTTCAGTACCGGTTCCAGTGGGCGGGGTCCAGAATCCAACATGTATTACCAGATGGTGGCGGTAGTGCGCCATTAAGCTATTGTACTAGCCACCACTTAAGTGTTAGAAGAAGACGACCATAAAACAAAATGGAGGGTATCGTGGCTTTGTTCAACTTACTTCTCAGTCTGTGGCTTTTTGAACGCCGTCGAAGACAAGAGAGTCAGAAACGGCTTCAGGAAGCAAGGCAAAGAACTCTGGAGAAGTACAGGAGAGTGTGGGAAGCCCTAGAGCGTTACAAAATAGAAGACAGGAGGCAAGCTAAACGACGTGTGCGGGTAAGCTAAAATGCTATTTTGCTATAGCATGCAATAACATATTATAAAAGCCGAGCGTAAAAGTACATAAATGTTGGTAAAAAACAGTTTAGTAATACATATGCCGTGTATGTGTTTCAGATGATTCGCCTGCTAAATAATAATAATCGCAGCAGACCTACAGTGTGGGCGCATAACAGAGCTACTCAGTGGTGTGACGTTATTGTACCTGGTTTCACAAACAGTCAGTGGTTGAGGAACTTCAAAATGTCAGAACAATCATTCATCTACCTGTGCAATAAACTACGACCGGCTCTGGAGCGACAACATTCAACTTTCCGCCAATGTGTGTCATTAAAGAAGAGGGTGGCAATTGCACTGTGGAAGCTGGCAACTAGATCAGAGTACAGGAGTGTCGGACATCTTTTTGGCGTCAGCATCACTACGGTGTGTAGATGTGTGCAGGAGTTTTGTGCTGCAGCAGAGACATTGTTGGTGCCAGAACAGATCCGTTTTCCTGATGAAGAGAAGTTAAGAGAAATGGCCCTTTACATTGAGAACCGGTGGGGGCTCCCACACTGTGTGGGTGCTATTGATGGCAGTCATATTCCCATAATAGCACCACAGCACTTTCACACTGATTATTTTAATCAAAAAGGTTGGCATTCCATTATCCTGCAAGCTGTTGTGGATGGAAGGGGACAGTTCTGGAACGTGTTTGCTGGATTGCCAGGGAGCCTGCATGATGCCAGGGTTCTGAGACTGTCCACACTGTGGGAGCTAGCCACGAGAGGAAACCTATTCCCAGCTCATTTCAGGACCATTGGCACAGCGTCCACTGGCTACTACGTCCTGGGTGACTCAGCTTATCCATTGCCGGACTGGCTCTTAAAACCATTTTTCTGACACTGGAAGACTAACAGCAGAACAGCAGATGCACAACCAAAAATTTTGCAGTACACGGGTAGTTGTGGAAAATGCTTTTGGTAGGCTGAAGGGAAGATGGCGTTGCCTTCATAAAAGGAATGACTGTGATGTTGAACTTGTTAAGTCCATGGTGATGACCTGCTGCGCTCTACATAACCTGTGTGAAAGTCATGGAGAGACGTACGAGACCGTATTGGATGAACATGATGCAGAAGCAGCTGCCCAGCCACCCTGTGTGGCTGTGACACAGGAAGTTGGGGAAGGAAGAGATGATGTCAGAAATGCTCTAATGGAGCATCTCATGATAAATCATTCATCCTCATTTGATTAACTGTTTAAATTAATCCCTAATTGTACACATTTTTTCTTTACCTGCATGCCTTAAACCCGTCTTTGTAACATGTAAGTGTCGCTGTTGATAATAAAAATGTACTGTATTAACAATATCTTGACTTTTGTTATGAACAGATGCACTACAACAAGGTTCATGTAAAAATTGATAAACAAATCCCAGTGTGCTGTCATCACAGAAACTGCTTTTAAGAGCATCTGTAGATTTAAAGAACATTATTGTTGAATTTCTCCTTAAATCTTAAGTTTTGTGGTTCATAAGAAAAACCCATAAAATAAATGTACTTTATATATACTAATTAATTTCTATTTATATACCATTTATTTAACATCTAATGTGTATTATATTTAACTTTATATTACACATAAACTAATTACAAACAGCATTTTTTTGTCTCACTGTTCATCTTTACAATACAGGCTGTCATATTTTCACTGGAAAAACTGAAGTAGAAAATTTTTGTGTGATGACTTCATCCTGGAACAAAAAAAGACTAATTTAATAACAGTAAACAAATTGTAGAAATCTTTTCTTAGGAATCATAAAATCTTAAATGTATAAAAGGGATAAATGTCAAATTTGCCTAACATTCACTATGAACGTAAATAGAAATATTGTCAGCTTTTAAC